AAGGGGCCCCCCCCCCCCCCCCCTCCCTCTCAACATGCCTAGGCTTCTAAAGAATGGGACTTGACCAAAGAAACAGAAAATAACAATTAGAATGTTGTTACAACCTAAACAGTGGATTCCAAGCAAACAAAGCATCAACACTAGTTATTCTATGTAAAAATAGGCAATCATATAGGGTTAAAGAGCACATACACATGGAATGAACTATCTATGTTCTTTGAGAATCAGTTCTTGGCAAAAAAGTAATAATATATCAAGGTAAAAAGCACTTATTTCTTTAATTCAATGTTGGGTCAGTCTAAGGAGAATGTTGTATTAAAAGTGAAATAACTACACATGACCCCAAAAAAAAACTATAGTTTTGTTTGCAAGTGTGTCTCGTGTTTTAGTGCCTTTCATGTGAACAACTGACAACAAATAGAAGATAATAAACTAGCCGTCATGGTGGACTATAGTCGGAACTTTATCTTGGGGGTGTCGCAACAATGGCCTATTACTAGTCCGGCACATGAGTGAAAAATACTACGGTGATTTATTGGGATAGCCAAGATATTTAAGAAAAAATGGCATAGCAATGAATTTTGTTTGATGGAGCAGGTTAACAACTTAATATTGATAGTCAATTTTGGCGTAAAACTCTTTGGAATTTCCCTCCTTCCTCTTGACAGATTTCCCTCCCCCTTTTGAAAAATTGTGTTTGGTTTACACACTCCGCACCACGAGGGTTTTTCATGACAAATGTAACTGCACATTCCTTTTGAGTTTTAACTCAAACATCGTCTCTTAATAGTCAAAAATGATAAAGAGGTCTCAAATCAGAATTTTTTTTTACAAGTCAATAACGAAATAATCATTTTCTATTTGTTTTGACATAATTAAAATTTAAAAAAAAATAATAAAACTTTAGTATTTAAAACACTATTTTTCAGGTATGAGAGCTTGAAAGGTATGATTATGTTAGGGCACACAAAAGCTGGAGGTCTATATATTATTTTTTTAGATATGAAGGGGTTCTCGTATAATTTTGTTAACAATCGGGGATCCTAATAAAATTTAATCCCTTCATGTAATGTGACCGCGTCATGCGCCTTGAATAAGGTTATATATATTGGCTGACAGCCTGCCACTTCTCTCCCTTCCATAGCCAAGCTGCAATATTTGTAACAATGGTGTCAAAAGATCCAGAACCCATTTTATCTTCTCCTTCCCTTCCCACAAGCAGGTAATCTCTCTCTCTCTCTCTCTCTCTCTCTCTCTCTCTCTCTTTTTATATATATATATATATACATGTATATATTGTCGCCTCGACTGTTGTTTGAAGAAAACCTATTGATGCACTTCCGGCACCAAGCTCGGGGCTCCCCATTCTACCAGTCTTTAACCAAGGACCAAAATCAATGGAAAAGGGCCCATTTGTTTTGTATTTCAAAAAATGGTATTCCAAAATTGTTTTTAGAAAGTTTTAGAAAAGTTTGTTTCACTGTTTTTTATGTCGCATAACCTGTTTAATTATGTGATTTTAAAAATAGTTCTACGAAATAAAAAATAGTAAATTTTATTTAGACAATAACCATAAAATAATAAAAATAGAAATATGATAGTGATGGAAATGTTGTGGTTGTGGGAGTGTAGTGATGTTGGTGGTGGTGGTAGTGGAAGTGCATTGGTGGTGTTTTCTAAATCACTAATGTTATTGCGACATAATTGAGGGACGTAATTTAAGGACATAATGAGTTGTCACTAATGTTATTGCGACATAATTGAGGGACGTAATTTAAGGACATAATGAGTTGTCACTAATGAAATGATAGTAGTGAAATACATTTAATTATGTGTCTCATTGTAGTATTAAATGAATTCACTATCATTTCATTGATGACAACTTATTATGTCACTAAATTACGTCTCTCAATTATGTGATAATAGTATTGCTCTTTCTAAATTTTGGAAAGGTTGTTTCCGAAAAAAAAACATACAAAATAGTTTTAACTTATTCTATAAATTTATGCACTTTTTGTTTTCAGTTTTCAAAAAATAAAAACAAAAAGTAGTTGGTCAAATAGGTTTTTTCCCAAAACCTGTTTTCAAAAACAGATAAACATTTTCTGAAATGCAAACCAACCGGGGACTAAGTTTGAGCATGTATTTATATATACTCGTTTATATGTGTTATATACTTAACCTAATATCATTTTGCATGGAAGTTGCAGATGGTGGTCGAAAGAGACGGTGGCCGTAGTGACGGGAGCAAACAAGGGTATTGGGTTTGCACTGGTAAAAAGGTTAGCAGAATTGGGAGTAACTGTGATTTTAACAGCCAGAGATAATGTAAAGGGACTCAAAGCAGTTGAGTCACTCATAGATCAAGGACTCCATGTACACTTCTTTTGCCTTGATGTCTCAGAACTTGTATCCATCAAAGCATTTGCATCCTGGTTTCAAGAGACATTTGGAGTACTTGATATACTAGTAAGTGAATTCACAATCACATCTCTTTCTCTATCTCTCTCATGCTCCAAATACAGTCTATGGTCTATCTCTCTCATGCTCCAAATACAGTCTATGCAAAATACGTCATATATCAAGGAGTAAATTTCTAAGTTATTTATTTTTACCGTAAATAACCCCGCATCAACGACAAAGGTATCTCAAGTAATAATGGGGACGAGCTATAACCTCAAACATCCGTTTAGAGTTTTCATGGAGAGGCAGAGGGAGGTTGGGCCAGAGTGGACATGTGCTCCCTCAAAAAAAAAAATTTCTTAGTTAGATATATATATTATATATTTATACATATATATTAAATGTGCCCCTCATTTATATTAAGCCCACATTATTTACCCAAAATAATTAAAAAATTAAGTTCATTTAAAACAAAAAAATTGAACTCACTATTATCTATCCAAACTTATTTAAAAATCAAATATTTGACCTATCACAATCCACTCAAACTTATTAAAAAAATAAAACTTTTAGCCTAAAATAAAAAACAAAATTTTTGGCCCAACATTAAAAACAAAACTTTTGGCCCACTTGACTAAAACCTATCTTATCTTTTTTTTTTCTCTTTGTATCACTCACTCTCAGTTGCCCACTGCCCACTGCCTAGCCACAAGAAAAAGAGAAGAAATAGAAAAAAGTTCAACATACAAGAAGCTCATTTCTTTGAGTTTTTTTGACTTTCCTTGCACCAACTTATAAAATTATTTTATACATTATATTAACCCCTAAATTATTGAAAATTTTAATAATGGTTCTAGTCTTTTTTTTTTTAATAAATTAGTGGACCACTAAAATAAATATGTTAGTTTTGGATTGAGTCAATGTTTTATTTGTGTATTGACAAAAATACAATATTTTTCTTTATCTAACACAATGTTCGTTATTTTTTAAGAATAATTTTTAGTTTTCATTTACTCTTTTTTTAGTAATAGTAATCTATAACCTAATAAAATACGAAAATTAATTTACATTTAATTCATATACAAAATTTTAGAGATTTTAAAAAATTTTATATTTTATTGAAATATATAATTAGGTTAAAATGTACTAAAAAAATTATTTTGTTAAAATTTTGTTTCGGCTAAATAAAAATTGAATTTACTATTTCACAATAATTTAGTGTTGATTCTTACTTTCTGTTTATTCTTGAACTGAATTTTTTTGTATTAATTTTGGCTTAATATTTTTTTATACCAGTTATATTTTGACTCTATCATAGATATTCATGGCTCCGCCCCTGGCAGCATACATTTTTCTTTTGGAATTTTTTATGTTAAATGGACTTTATATATCAAATATAATATAATAAATATAAATATGTTATATAGTGTGATTGGTTAGAGGAAAAAAAATTTGAGTGCATAATTAAAGTGTCCACCCCGAACAAAATTCCTAACTCTGCCCCTGTTCTCATGAATATCCTAGTTCTTGCATGAATACTCTATCTTTGACCGGACCGGAGAAGAGATTAGTAGAAGTGCTTTTAAATTGACGTAGACACTCCTGACCGTNGGAAAAAAAATTAGAGTGCATAATTAAAGTGTCCACCCCGAACAAAATTCCTAACTCTGCCCCTGTTCTCATGAATATCCTAGTTCTTGCATGAATACTCTATCTTTGACCGGACCGGAGAAGAGATTAGTAGAAGTGCTTTTAAATTGACGTAGACACTCCTGACCGTTAAACTTAAAAATAAATAAATAAACCTGCATCGTTCATATTAGAAATGAAATGTTGAGAGTAATCTTTGCTCACTCTTTTCCATCTTACGCTTCTTGCGATGGTGGTGAAAAAATAGCAGAACAGGTAGAACTAGATAGCAAACTTGATGGCTCAAAGAGGTTTTGAAGAGAAAGCAATAGAAAGAAGTTAAAAAGCGAAAGAAATAAACACACATGCGAATTTAGACCAAATTTTAATTCAAATTGGAATCCAATTAAAGAGTTTCTCATCCAAATCCTATCATGTTATTCGACGGATTTTATTTTCATAGTCAACATCTTAATCAATTAAGAAGCCGATATTCGATCCGATAATTTGATCTGATCTAACTAATTTAAGTTATATATTAGACAATTTACCTAATTTTTAATACAATTTTATCGAATAATCACTTAATTTCACAACATATTTATATAAATATATATGGTAAGTTGGATTAATTTATAACAAACCGGACAAGGATATATCCAAATCTGAATCAATTAAATATGAAATAATTGATTTGGGTACGAATTCATATTTAAATTATCGATACACAAAATGTCAATCTATAGTCAATTAATTGGATTTGAATTCAGACCGAATAATCCGATTCATTGACAATCCTATAGATAATTACATTATGTTATTACTTGACAAACTCGAATATCTTAGCAACTAGTTGATTTAATGGTTAGACACAAACTTCAATTGAGATTGATCAGGGACCCAAAACATATGGGTTAGAGTGCGTGAGTGAGTGAGAGAGAGAGAGAGTCATGTATGTAAAGTTTATAGTAATACCACCTATAATTAGTTGTTTTGTATTTTAGAATGATTTTGTTTTCACCCAAAAATAATAAAATTAGAATGTGACACGTGAAAGAGATCCAAAAAATCTGTGAAAGTCCATTTTTGACAGAGCGGTTAGTGAAATAAAATTCTAAGAATCCCAAGAAGTAAGAAGACGTGACCCCATGAGCTGTTAGTTGGAGACAGTTTAATACACGTTTATGCATCTCGAGAGAAAGGTCATGATTACAGTGATGACCGAAAAAAATGATTTTGATGGTTGAAGGTCATTCCTATAAAAAAAAAAAAGTCAAGCCACAGATAAGGGATCAACGATCAAACACAACAAAGACTGCACAGAGCTACCCTACCGTATACTTACCTATTTTTACTTTTGAGCAACTTTACTTTTTCTTTAACCCATCACTCCTATGATTTTTTACTGCTTTCATTTAATATTAAGCAAAGTACTTATTTCATCTTTCAAACTTAGTCTAATTGATGCTTTGCATTCCACTTATTTTTTTTACGTTTCAATCCATTACGATATTAGTTGGAAAATTATTCAAAGTCCTTAAACCTTAAGGCATAGAAAAAAAACTCAAAGGTAACTTTACGCCTCATTATACTTGCTTGAACAATCACGATTTTAAAACTTCACACCGATTCGAATAGGTAAGATCGTATGTATTTGGATCTAAGTTCAATAAAATTTTGACACTCCCACAATTTGAAAATATGCAAAAACAGATTTGTAAGAGGTGAGTTATAGAAACTATTGTTTAATAGAAAATTTACCTTCCAAATGTTTTTTTTCCAGGTAAACAATGCAGCTGTATCTTTCAATGACATTCATGAGAACTCGGTAGAACATGCCGAGACAGTGATGAAGACAAATTTCTATGGAACAAAATTACTGACTGAAACCCTCTTGCCCATGTTTCGTCGCTCAGCTTCTATGAGTCGTATACTTAATATTAGCTCAAGACTCGGCCTACTTAATGTAAGTCGTGAACATTTTTTTTTCTACTTTTGTCATCCTTGTTTATAATTAATCATACTTTTGTCATCCTAATTTGTAACATATACAGGTGCATTTCAAAGGAAATTGAACACTGAAGGTAGGGGCTGTCAATTCGTGTCGTATCGTATGACCTATGTGTCGCATACTTTTGTGTCGTGTAATTGTTATTCTTATCGTGTTTGTGTGAAGACCCACGAAAAAAATATATTTAGTGCGTTTTGAGTATCAAACATCAATCTAAATCATTTATTTTGCATATTTAATAATCGTGTCATGTCAAAGTTTGTATGACGGGTCAAAGTCGATACCCCTAACTGAAGGCAGGAATTAATATTCATGCACCTTTGGTGGATATCTTTTATTGCACTCCAATTCACCTCCTATATGATATAAAACCCTTTTTGAAATTATTGAACTAATTAATATACCATCTCTAATAACTTAAGTTTTTAGAGCAAATGGGAGTTCAACAGAACTTACATTGAAAATTTTCATGAGTATTAGATGTTGATAACCCGGCTCCCTATTTTTTGATCCAATATTGACCAAGGGCAAGCCCCAACTTGCATAGGTCATTGGTTTGACCTCTAGTAGTGGTCCTTGCTTTTAAAAAAGCCGAGCAGAGCCAATTTCTCATACTCGTTCGATGTGGCCCCCTTTCGTCGAGTGCCCTGCCCTTACGTTTTCTTCACTTGCTCTACCGGGCCTCATACTCCTGTTATATTATGTAATTTGTTTTCTGTTTGTTTGTGATCTCATGTATATCATATATACTTCCAGAATCCAAAGGACAATAACATGTCTGATGAAGTACTCCTTTGCAGAAGCTCCAAAATCCAAGTATAAGAGAGACACTTGGTGATGAAGAAAGGCTGTCGGAGGATCACATCCAAGACATGGTCGTTACGTTTCTTGATGATGTGAAGAGTGGCACATGGCGAAGCAAAGGGTGGCCAAAAGTGTGGACCGATTACGCCGTGTCAAAGCTTGCCCTGAACGCATACTCAAGGATCATGGCAAAACGCTATCAAGGCCGCGGTTTGAGTGTTAATTGCTTCTGTCCAGGTTTTACGCAGACATCGATGACTCGTGGTAAGGGTGATCATACTGCAGATGCCGCCGCAGCCGTCGGGGCTGACCTAGTCTTGCTTCCACCTGAGGAACTGCCAACCGGAAAGTTTTATATAGGTTCCAGGTTAAGTGCATATTCTAAGTTATAGGATAAGGCAGTGGCAATGGGAATATGTAGTACCATTGATACCTGTTCATTGTGGGATATATGTTTTAGGATTAATGGTATTTTTATTCCTTAAAATATATATTTTTTATTAATTTAGTCTTTATTTTATTAATTTTGTTAATTTAATCCTAAAGTATTCAATTTGTGTCATTTTGGTCCTTAAATAGACGAACTATTAAGTTTTTTACAGAATGATCACGAGTTAGACACGTGATATCATAAAAAAAATGACATATGGTCACTTCCATAAAAAAAATTTGACGGTCCGTCTATGTATGGACTAAAATGACACGAATTAAATATTTTAAGGATCAAATTAATAAAATTGATACAATAAAGACTAAATTGATAAAAAAATATTTTTTTTACGGACTAAAAGTACTATTGACCCAATGCTTTATGACAAAATTTGAGCCCTTGTGTGAAATTTCTTATGGTGTTCTTGTAAATGGAGTGAAATTAACACCACTAAGTATTCCCAATTTCTTTGTTCTAGGGATTAAAAAATAAACCATTGCTGTGGGAATGTTTTTTAATTGGTTGAATTGGCAACCATTAATTAGATATATTGACGACTTCGATCTGGTACAATATATTTTTTCTTTAATTCTCTTTTTAACAGATCATCAATCATTAAAAAGTGAGAGACTTACTTGTACACAATAATTCTTACTTTAATGTATGATAGATGATCGACAAAGAAGAGAATCTTTTTATAGATGGCGTCATACTATGAAAAATAGATACGAATACGGAAACAAAATGTTAATATCTTAAGTAGGAATTAGGAAGAAGCTAGCTACTCCCTAAGTCCGTCCAATGCTGGCCGATTGCTTCCCTTGACGGATCTTATTCCCAACCGATATTAGTTGATTTTGGCTGATTGGTTATGAATAGACATGGTGATATAATACAATTTAAAAAAAAATACGAATACAACTAGGATAAGTCTATAAAAAAATATATTTTATATTTCTTCTATTATCTACCAACTTAATAATTATATATTTTAATAAATCTTTAACATAATAAACAAAATTGGCTATTTTTTAATTTTGGAAAAAGTATAGGTCTTATTAGTATGGTACATTCACTAAGTGAAGTGACAAATTAAAACTAATATTTACTTAGTTGGTTTGCTTAGAAGTATTTATTGCTAAGATTATAATTTAATTAATTTGTTTTATGCTCTTTAATTTTACATGTATTAATAGATAATATTTACAAAACAATCGTGTGCTCTTCAAAGTTGTATAATTTTTTTGTCAATGTAATGTATGATATGTGAATTGAAATGAGATGTTAAAGATTAATTAAAAATTTATATATATATATATATATATATATATATATATATATANAATATATATATATATATATATATATATATTTTTTTTTTAATATAAATATTTTAAAATATTATTTAATATTTCACACACCTATGGAGGGGGAACAACTTAACGCCTGTAACACCTTTTTTCGCAAACTTTAGAAAGGTTAATATGGCTTTAATTGCTTGATATTCACTCCCATTTTTTTTTGTTCTTGGTCACTATTCACTTTTTTTTTTTTTGAACGGCCTAAAAATGGAAAAAGGCAACCAACAGATAGTAATCTCCCTATCTCCGGAACGTAACCATGAGAATTTTTTCACTGTATAATATTCGATTTGAGTCACAACTATTAACCTAGAAAGGTAATTTGTCGCTACACTACCACCAAAGTCAAGTAACAAATTTTTTTATTCCCGTGAATCAAATCTTACTTGATACTACATGAAAGTCAAAATCAATCTTAAACGGATACAATTTACAACTAAATTATCAGCTCGGGTTATTCGCTATTCACTTCAAAACCTCGCAATATAAATATTATTTTCAATGGTTTGCTTCAGCACGGAATGTGGGGGTTATTTTAAGTTTTTTGGAATTTTACCTTTAAGTAATCCACACTCCATCATAATTAATTAATGAATACCTATTATGTTGTCTCCCTCATGTGCCCAAAAAATAAAAAATAAAAAATAAAAATCGGAATTATAAAAATAGGTAGAGATCAACTAGTTTAATAAAAAAAAAAAGATAATTATAATGAAATCCATGAAAAAGACACCTGACCAAACATGGGAGCTGTCCCCTGTCTTCTCCTGGTCACAGATTGCTACGCAAAGGAGCTTCATGCAAGCAGAATGTGTCGCATACAAGAAAAATGTTAGGTTTCAAATATTGAATGCAAAGGTTACATCGCGACATCATTGTCACGATATAACTGACAAAAAAATATTATTATTAAAATTTAATTTATTGAGTAAATTTATTATAATTTTTAGATCAACTTTGATTCATTTGACATTAAAATATATTGTTAGGTCAACAAATTAAGTTAAATTTTTAAATGCAACTAATACTATTCAATTAATGAATAGGAAACAAATAAAGAGAATAAATGAATCTCAATAATCTTGGATAATAATTTTGAATATAAAAATTATTGATAATTAGACAATTTGGTGGGACCTGTTAGTTCTTTATTTATAATTGATTGATGAACAATGTTATTGGGACTTACGTAATTTATTAAATTAATTTATTATAACATTGGATTAATTGTAGGCATCATCAAAAATTGAAAATTAAGATTAATCTAACGATTATAATAAAATCAAATTAGATTAACAAAATTAAATTAATTTTTTTTATGTCTCAATAGAATTACTGTTAATCGAGTACATCACGTGACGATGATAGCTTGTTACCTCCAATTATTTTTTATACGATCAAAAATGTCCTTCTTCTCCTCCTTCACTATACAATCACACTTTCTAACAGCTCTCATCAATCAAAAATGTCTTCGCTTTCTCTCTCTTCATCCGAGAACCAATACCTTGAAACCCTGTTACAATCAGCCCGTCCATTTCTCCGTGGAGAGCTCGAATCCATCGACAAAAACCTACCTTCTGTCATCGCTGTCTTACGCTCTGCCGGTGCCGGGGAGTGTTGGCACAGGCATGGCTCCTTCCAATACCATCTTTTCGATGTTTACCGTATTCTAAAGCTCTGGAAAGCCCAGGAGTGTATATGCCTTTGCGGCCTCTTTCACTCTGCTTACTCAAACTCTTACAATAACCTTGCAATATTCGATGCTGCCACGGACCGTGACACCGTGCGTGGCCTTGTTGGTGAGGCTGCAGAGCGTTTGATGTACTTGTTTTGTGTTGTCCAGCGTCACCCTCTCATTCATGATGATCTTCTGTTCCAATACACTGATTCAGAACTGGTCGAACACCTTGAGCTTTCGAAGATTTCGTTGAGGAAATCTAAGGAAATTGGGATTTTCAACGAGGAAGAGTTTTGGAGGGTGAAACTACAGTCTCTTGTTCCTGCTAATGGGATCACAGTGAAGCACATAAAGACGGGAGAAGAAGTTGTGCTCTCCCGGAGAGTCATTGCAGTGTTCCTTCTGATGACAATAGTTGATTTCAGTGATCAGTTTTTTGGTTATCAAGACGTCTTGTTTGAGAATAGCAATGGCCGTCTGGAGTTTTCTGGAGATAATAATGCTGCTTTATGGCCTGGTGATGGCAGGCCAGGACTATGGATGAACTCAATATCAAGAATGGGTGCATTATACACAATGTTAGTGAGAGAAGAAGAGATATACATGGAGGAAAGTAAAAGAAGTGGTGATGATGGGGTATTAAAAGATAGAGAGTACGAAGGTATTGAGCTTGTCATCCCACCAGTTTTCGAGAACTGCACAAGGGTTTTGGATGCAGAAGACCAGATTGAATCCAGGGACTTGTATTGGGAGGTTATGTGTGATTCGTCTGAGAAGGGTTTGCAGAGAGCTGAGGAGAAGCTGTTGAGGTGTGTGGAAAAGAACCCTTTTATTGGAGAGCCTCACTTGGTGTTGGGTCAGCTGTATTTGAGCAAAGAGAGGTTTGAGGATGCTGAGAGAGAGGTACAAGAAGGGCTAACCCTTTTGTTGGAGTGGGGAAATCCTTGGGATAAGAGGATGTCATGGGAAGGTTGGATTGCTTGGGCTAGGGTTATGTGGATTAAGGCTAAGGAGCGGTCATGGCCGAAGACTTCATGGGGCATCATCAACTTAGGCCTAGTGAAGTAGAAGTCTTTGGGGTTTAAATTCGACCATGGGTTAGGTCGTCCTTTGGGAGCGCTTACGTGTTCTCTCGTCTAGCTCCTCTGGAGAGCTCTTCTCCAGCAGTTAAGGGCTGCTATAGTCGCGTACTAGTAGGAAATAGAAGCCCCTTCTTTCTCCTTTTGAATGTAATTATACAATAAAGTCGAAATCAAGCTTGTTTGCTATCTACTTTATGCTCCCTAATTCACATAAAGTTTAATATGTTTTTGTATTATAAGTTTAATATATGATTTTAGTTGTACTTTGATTTTGTAATGTCATACAAATGTTGATAAAACACATATATCTTGATTTAGGAGAAGGAAGACTATTGATAATGGTAATGACAAAATAGCCATGTATTGCTCATTCATCATGACTATTAAGGTGGTAGTTATGTCAATTGGGAAGCTATAACATATCCAATTGTAAAAGCCAAAGGCACTGTTTTGAGAAGAATATCACATCATGTTTACAATCATCAAAATTCATTTACCGGAATCTCTTGTCACAATCGATGTATAATTGTAATTTAAAGGTTAGATCATATTAGAGGTGGTGCATGAATTTGGGTTTATTGGGGCCAATAGTAGATTTGACAAACATTATAATGGAAATTAGTGTGAGAGTCACATTGCAACTAGTTTATGACATTTTGATGGTGTAATGTGAAAAAATTAATCATTGAAAGTGCAAATTAATAAGTTTTGAAAAATTTTGGGGTATAAAGTGCGATTCTCCCTAAAACGAACTCGGAAAGAAAAAAGTTTGAATTGACTTCAAAATAGTCTACAAATTAGGCATCTTGGGTCTGATGGTATGATATATGCATCGAGCACAATCAAAGAGAGGATGCAACTGCTCTCAACTGAAGACAATAGGTTCACCAATATAGCTTCCTTGTGATTTCCAAATTGGAGGGAAAAATATATAGGTATGAAGTAGGCGTTGTTACAAAATTAGGTGCAAATAACTAATTTAAAAAATAAATAAAGATAGAATACTGGAGAGAAAAGAGAAAGAGAGAGATTTTTGCTTCTCTATTCTCAGTGTGTTTAGGGTGACCATCCACCTCCTATCACAGGTGGGGTGGTCATCCACCAGTTGAATATTTTCAACATAAGCAATGTTTGATTGACCAAATATCTATCACAAATGACATGACAGTTGACTTAAACTTTTTTATTTGGTGTCATATTATTTGGGGCTCAATAAAGACTCTAAATAATATGTTGTCATGTCATTTGGGATAAAAATTTAGTCAATAAATTTGATCAATATAATATTACTCTTTCAACAGATGTCTGGTAATGTCATCGAACAACTTTAACAACTGCTAGGTGGTAGAAAGCAAAATACATTCTATGAGAAAATATTGTATGCTTACAAGATATAAGGTGAGAGTGTCGCGTAGTGTCTATACCTGATAAAAAATTGTCGTAACATTTTCTTGTCAAACCCACAAATTGATTTTTTTTTATATAAAACATTATGACAACTAAGTGGTAGAAATTGATTGACAATATATAATATTTTATTCATAAAAAAAATTAGTTCAAGATTTATTGAGGAAAAATGAGATTAAAGTCTATATAAGTTTTTTTCTTTTTTAAGTTAAACCCATGTAAGATAAAAAATTATTAATAATCAAAATATAAAAGTAGGGAAGAGATAAACATTACCCGTTCATACAATAGGAAATAACTAATAAGTATTTTCTAATGAAACAAGCAAGGAAGGTAGAGCTTCAAAAAACCTATACACTTACTACATGGCCCACCCTGTTTTCTTTCAATGTCTTCACACTCCTTAAATAAATATTATGGTCTTCATCAACAAGTGGTGGGATACCTATCCATAAAAAAAAAAAAAAAAAAAAGTGGTGGGGCCCTTTTCCACCGAATGAATGCCCTGCAACTCCTTCATGATTCCATTATTTATCCCAAATCTCAAATGTGGTAGGTCCAATGGATTACCAAACAATATATTCCCTGGAGAATAGATTGCAAGAATCCGAAATTTGTGGGACCCTTAGTCCATTAAGCAAATTTTGAATTCAAGTATACGGGTGTATTTGTAAACTCAAATTCAACACTTAAAATGAATGTATTCAAAATTTATTAATTAAACATATTTGATAATTAAAATTTAAACTCTTTTAATATGTTAAGTGTTTTTTAAAAATAGATTATAATATTAAGTAAGAAATACCTTACTTAATTTTGAAAACTGAAAACGCTCAACAAAATTATCTTTAATAATATTTATAATATGATAATTATACTCCGAAATATTTTACAATCCTATTAAAACTCTAATTTGTCTTCTCTTCAATTCCCCTAACCTATATGTTCTTCTTGTTGATCTATTCTTTTTTTTGTTTCTTTCTATTGTCTTTTGTAACAAAAATACACATACGTAATTATAATTACACACAGACCTATGCACTACACACACACATACTTACACACGCACACAAATATTATTAATGAAATCTAATTTATTTAATTTTTTCAATGTTATTTGATTATTTATTAGTTATTGTTTTTTTTTATCAGATGTTATTGTTCACTTATTATGTTATTTAATTTGTTGTTGTTCATTTATTGTGTTATTCAGATATTATTTATTTATTTATTTTAATCAAATATTTGTTAAATGTAGACTACAATATAATAATAGTGATTATGATTTATGTTATTACATTTTATAAATATTTTCAAATTAAAGAATGAAAGGATAAAATTGAAAATTAATTTATTTCAGACGTCAACTCTATATAGTTATTAAATAGTTTAGTTCAATTCAGCACTTAGATTTCAATAAATATTAAATAGTCTACAAAATTAACTTTCAAACTTCAACTTTCAATTTTTAATTTTCAATTTTATCAAACACCGTCTGAATCTCCACCAACCACTTCATGCAAGTTGCCTTTAGGGGAAGAAAGTCTCCCATGCCATCTTTTCCATGTCTGTTTTTTCTTGGTTGCCAAAAGTTACAAGAAAAAACACCGTACTCTGTTGAATTATTTCTCCAAACATTTAATATCAATCCAAGAACTAACAGTTGCCATGTCTAGCTTCACTAATAGCTCATTAGATTTAGCCGTAAAGATTGAAACTTCTCCTTTGGAAAGAAGAGAGAAAATTCTTACAGCTTACTTAAAAACATTAGATTTACAGGCAGGCAGCCATGTCAGCAAATCTGGGTAGAAAAAATGACCTTGGTGTAAAATGAGTCAGGTGGATCCCGCCTGCTCATTTACTCAGCATGGACGAATAGTGCTCAACGAACTAACTAAACAGTTTTGTCCACAAAGAATGTTCCCAATCTATGTTTCTGGATAAGATGAAAGATCTTTGCATCCACCAACAGAGGTGGATGAATCACACAAATTATATTATACCCAAATCTTAATTTCATTTAAACTTGGTTGTTTAATCTTTCTTCATAAAGATTTATTTTTTTCGTGTTACATCTTCTGGGTTGTGATCTTAACAAACATTGTTAAAAAGCATCACAAATAGATTCGGACCCCGCTCGGAAGGAGGGCTGGAAGTAGGAAGTTCTTACATCAATGATTCTCAATCTCAAATTATTTGGCCAAAATTAAAGAATAAATATGAAATCGATTATGTATATGCAGAGTTCAAGGTATTCACTTAGTCAGAATCCTTCGTCTTTTCCGACAATACTGGGCAGAAGTGAAACTGTTCGTCTTAACAAAATAAATTGTTGGGCTCCAGGTGTAAACCTTGGTTAACTTGTGTTTGAAGTGAAATACCCACCTCCACTTTTTCGATCATCTCTTGTTTACAGGTAAGTGATAAAGTATTTTATCTCATTTTATGAACCAAAACAGACAAAAGGACCAAAAGTTGAACTTCATTTGAGTCTCAATCAAAAAACGAAAACAAAAAAAAAAACTATGTTAAAATATTTTCACAGTCAATTCAAAAAATTATGGTTAATATTTGCTTGTTTACCATGAAAACTGAACTTGTTATCTTACACCGATGGGTAACAATGGATTATGGAACCTAATGTGTGGTCATTTAGCCCCCACTGTAACCACACTTCGTAAGTCAATAGTAATACGAGAGAAAGAGCTGACTTGAAGGAGTGAGGAGAGGAGTCAGCTCGCCCAGAAATGAAAAAATGAGAAAGGATGTGAAATGAGGCGTGGGTTTTAGGGTTAGGTTCTTTTATATAGTGGCAGGTCATTTGGGTCTAAAACAGGTTAGTCGGGTTTGTGTCGATCAGATTAAATACACCAGTTAATTTTGGGTTAAACAGGTTGTAATTCATGTTAGTGGGTTGTGTTATATGCAGATTTATGTCAAAAAATAATCAATCCAAATCCATTAATTTGTGTCGTGTTCATGTTGTATTATAGTGTCGTGTCATGTCAGAATTTGTCAGCCAAGTCGAAAAAACTCGAATTAGCACCCCTAATTGTTTGTATACTTTAAAATTAAATATTTAAGTAATAATTATATTTTACCCCACAAACGTAATGACTACTCTTTTTCTTGATTACTTTCTCTTGGGATTCTTTTTAACCGATGATATATATAGTAAAGTAATATATATACATATATATACTAGTTCATACACACGTGTGTTGAACGTGTATAATTCTGAATTATAATTCCAATTTTTATTCAAGTTTCTAGAATTATTTGTTTAACATATTCTTTGGATGTGTTTTTTTTACTGTTTATATTTAATAGACTTGACAAGAATCTGAGAAGATTAAGTGAATACAAGAAAATTAAATATATGATTTGTATATAAACTGGTAACCTATTTGAAGATTTTTGTAGAATTTTTTTTTTAAAAAAGCAATTTTTTTAAAAAATGTGTACATAAATTGAGAACAATTGTAAAGAGAAATCTAACAAATCGTGAAAGATGCACATGTCATTATTATTACGCGGACCATCAAGCTATGAGACATTTTATATAAACACATTATGACAACTTTATAAGTGGTAAAAATTGATTGATACTGTATAATATTTTATACTTAATGTATACTACTTAGCAATGCCATGTTATAATCGGTGAACACAATATTTTATCAGTGACAACAAATATAGAAGTGGTTTTTTTTTTCTTGGGTATCTTAGGAAAAGGAGGGAAAAAGAGTTTTTTTTTTTTTTTTTGTGGGGAGAGGTCAAAATTAAGTCATTCCATCAATTTTCAGCGTTAAATCAATTACATACTAGCCCAATATGATCCATTTTAGCATTGATCTAACAATGAAAATGAACATTAGATAATATCTATGCCTAAGGCCAATCAAAGTCTAACCAAATTCAACAAAAAGAGCAACATAATGAAAGCATGGCTTCAAGGGACTTGCGCCTAAGCCCCAAGCACACTTTCTATTCTGAATCTACGCTTTTCTACACTCGTTTCGCTTGGACTTACTGAAGCGTTACACCTGCGTCTCAATGCCTAGGCTCCCCTTTCACAACACTGATCTCAAAGGAATGCACTTAAAAGCTCTTCTTTTCAATGAAAAACCAAATTTAAGTATCAAATATCAGTGTGTCACGGGATAATCCACCCCCGACTACAATTTTTTTTTTCCCAGTAAGTAAACCACAAGGTTAAGAGCCTTGCGCTCTACCAACTGAGCTAGACAAGCTTTTCCTGACTACAAATTTCGATGCCTTCACAATCTTCAAAAGACTCCGGTGATCATTTCAAAATGATAAACTTGCTTCCAAGTCAAATATGAATAATATCTCAAAATGAACCCACTCCATCAACTAACAAAGTTGTAAACATAACTGCAATAAGTCATTACAAAGCACTGTCAACGCAAATGCGCACCAGCTTCTTACATGAAACTCAAACAAACCAGAGGTCTTCACAATTAGGCAACAAGGAAAGGTAAAACAGTGAGCATGAATGACTCGTACGCGAAAGTGGCCGAACCAGAGTAAGTGGTGTCCTTCTCCTTGAATTTCTCAGTCAGTCCCTGCAACACCCACATCCCAGTCAGACATACATACCATTATCAAAATCCTCAGAATGGAGCATCATGTACTTGAACAGCAAGAAGAGTGTCCAAAAGATGTTCAACCAGGAAAATGAGTTTGAAAAAAGTACCTTAACAGTAAGGCAGCACCTGAAATTACATAGTCAAAAAGAGGTATAATATTAGAAATTGATTAACATTGAACATATATACACAATTTTAATCTAAATGAGGAACTAAATTTTGTTTTGAAATCAAAATTCTATGGAAACAAAAATGAAACAATAGTTCAGTACCGAATTCTATTTGTTTGGTCTGTTTCAATGAGTTTCGCTATATTTCGCTTTGTTAGATCGATGATTTGCCCAAAGGTTTCAAATTTTCTCCTTTGCTTCCATCTCATTTCTACCAAGTTGACCGAAATTAAGCACCAAAACAAAATTTAGATCCCTGAAACTTAAAAAGGCATTTCAATATATCCCTTAAAATGAAAATACTTTTACAAACAAAACTTTTAACAAAGTCCTATGCATAATAATATGACTCTGATATTTCTATGACATATGTAGCCTTTTCTTTTGAAATGAACAGAATCTAGCAGGCCACATCAATATTTTTAGAGAATTTTGTATGGAATGTTCTTTTTGCTTTCTGTATATGGTTATCCTGCTTGAAAAGGTTGAATTGAATAGTATTCTACACATACTCGATGAAATTGTCATATTCAATCGCCTTGTTCTTTCCACCACTTTTATCAAACTTAGAGACCAGCAACTCCAAAACTGCAGGTGAAACTGCAAACCCCAGGCTTAGGAGTGCATCTCTCAATTCCGACATATCAATTTTGCCACTCCTGTCCCTGTCAAATCTCTCGAATATACCCTAAAGATACCAATTAGAGATGAACATCAAATCAAGTCAGAAGTAAATAAAATAGATATTAATAATAGTGAATTCCATGATAAAAATAAATAATTGTTCTTCAACTTACCCTCCAGTTCTGAAGACTGTAAAACACTGAGGTGAACTCCTTTGGCCCTATTTTGAAGATATTACCACAAAGTCAACAGCATGGAAACTTCAACATTTACAATAAATAAAAATGGCCAATACCTCTAGCATTCTTACACAAATACAGGAAAACTTAATTTCCTGAAATAACCTGCTACCCCCCCCCCCCCAAAAAAAAAAAAAAAAAAAAAAAAGGAA